CCTTGGCCCCAACCAAGATGGCAGGCCGGGCCAGCCTGGTCTGCTGCGTTGACTGCGGTCTGGCGGTGGAGACTTGTCTACACCGCGGCTTCGTGGTAGAAAATCCGGCCTCGCAGCAAATTAAGAAGACAATTAAAAAACAAAACAAAACAAAACAAAAAACACCAGCAGACCGGCCCTCAAACTCCCAGTTCACACACAGAGAAACAAGTTCGGCAAAGTTAAGGGCCTGGCCCCACGGGCTGGTGGGTCCCAGAGCCGAAATAACTTCATGTTATTCTTGGCGTGGATGACTCGAGCGCGTCCTAGGTCTGAACACGTGGCTGTGGCCGGTATCCTAGACGCTGCACACCTGAGTTCACACCCCAGGGCTTTGGCTCGCCATCTGCGTCACCTCGCCCACCTGGTTTGCTGAGCGAGGTCCTGGTGCCACGTGACGCACAGAACAGGGCTCTAACATTGTGACACCTGCCTCCCGGCGGGGCACTTTATACTACCTCGTCTAAGCCGCTCAGCACCCTACCACCCAGCGGGCACCTGCGCCTTTTTACCGCGGGGGTACCGACTAATTTCCTAATCCGTGCAGATTTTGGATCCCTCGCTCTCTGACCTCGTTTTAGGAACGGGTGGGAGGAGTGACCCAGCCTCAAGGGATGGCTCGGCCAGCGGACACCGGGGCGAGCCTAGGACCTCACAGGGGCCTGCCCTTGACATCCGGGGCTATTACAAATATTGCCTCCAAGTTGGGGCTCCTTGTAAAACCCGGCGAAGGAGCCGCGGGGCCAGGAGGCGAGCAGAGGGAGGGAGAAGACTGATGTGGCAATCCTGCGGGCAGGGCGAGAGAAGGAAGGAAGGTCAGGAAATGATTAACCAGGCCGGGCCGGGTAGTGGTTAGAGAGGGCACCTCCCCGCAGTGCGATGTGGAGCAGCCCAGGGACTCCCCTTCAGTCACTGCCCACTTGTCCCCACCCCTCACCCCAGCAGTGGGTTTCTTCTGCGCTGTTCTCTGCTCACCTGGGGCATCATTGCCCACCTTTTCCCCCAGTCGTATTTCGGGTTCCCCAGTTATGCTTCTTTCTGTTATTTTGGTTGCTGGTAAAACAAGCCTTGGTCCTGGGGTTTTACAGCAGTGAGTTGTGGAAAGCACAGCTGCGTAGGAAAGCCAGACAAGCGCGCCTTCCAATCTGAGTGTGCCTTCTCTTACTTGATGGCCAATCTTAGCGTCTCTTGTCCTCGCAGCCCTTTTTCTTCACCTGTCAAACTCCCAATATAACGGTTATTTCACAAGGAAGATCTGAGAATTCATGAGACGGACCCCATGTAGTAGGTAGTTGGTAAGTTACCTTTTTTTCCTTTTTATGACAGCACATGCGGGCTGCTTCCATGGGACGTGGGAGAGGGATAAACAATAATTTCTGATCTCTGCTCAAGCTCTTTCCCAGTCTCCTCCTGCCACCCCTTTTGTCTTCAAGACCTGGCTCAACCAACCTTCTGTTTGTTTCCCCCTTACCCTACTGGGGTGAGTCTCGTTAGTGCCTGCTTTTGCCATGGAGCGGGACCTGACTCCTCCCATCTCTCATGTGGTATGTAGTATTTATTTCTTCACCCCCTCAGAGACTCAGGTTCCTAATTCCCCAGCCCTCAGTTTAAGCACCATTTCCTCAGAGAGATCTTTCTTGCCCCTGTTCCACCTGCAGGTGACCTCCCAGTGTGTGACGGCCTTGTCTGCCCCCACACCTGCCTTTTAAAAGCACTCTTCATGTGAGTAATTTGTTTAATGTCTGTCTTTCCCCTGGAGATCCATAAGGGTAGCAAATAAGTCTGCCTGGTTTCCTGGCTTTTTTTCTTTTACTTTTTTTAAAATTATTTTTTATTTAATTGTGTTCATTGTCTTTATTTTATTTTATTTTGAAGCTAACCAGAGAGAGACAGAGAGAGAAAAGCAAAGCGAGAAAGCAAGCTGCCAGGCCCAGGACTCGAACTACGGTCAGCCATGTGGGAGTCCAGCTACCTTAACCACCATGCCACCTGTGGGCCCCTCCTTTTTTTTTTTTTTTTTTTAACAGGGTCTCACTGTAGTGATATCCTGCCTCAGCCTCCTAGGGGGACTACAGGCACATGCCACCACAACCAGCTCTTTATTTTTGACAGGGTCTCCCTGTGTTGCCCAGGCCAGCCTCCAGCTCCTGATCCTCCTGCCTCAGCCTCCTGGTTACTGCACTTTACAAGCTTGTACCACTGGGTCAGACCTTCAGCTTGCATGGGAAACAGAACTCGGGCCTCCCATGTGGTCTCTGTGTGTAGAGCACAACATCTTAACAGTGCACCACAGCGGCTGGGCCTGGCTGCCTGCTTTATTTATAGCATAGTAATAAATAGGGAAAACCTGCAGGGTGTCCAAAAAAATAAGGATTCAATAAACGAGTGAGCATTGGATTGGTAGTGTCTAACATGGGCAGGATTTAGGAAGTAACCAGGATATATGCCAGGTATTTCCCACCCCCACCATGATCTTAAAATTTCCTTCCAAGTTCTGAGTTTATGATTTTAATTTATTTTTTATTGTTTAATTTGCTATAGCACATACTGGGAAGACTGCAAAAGGGGGAAGATGAGAAAACACACGCCCCTGCTGCCCCCAGGAGGGTTAGCCATGCCACAGTCCCTGCTCATTCATTCTCATTTAGGGAATTTGGGGAAACAGACACAGGTACCTGGTGTTTCTCAAGAAGTCAGATTTAGGACCTGAAGCATGCAGTCAGCCATGTGGAATCTAGACGCCTTAACTGCCACACCACCAGCTGGCCCCTGAGTTTATGCTTTTAACAGGATCAGGAATGTGAAAGTAATGTATAAGGTGTAAACTGATCGATTACTACTTACCTGCATATGCATAGTGGGGTTTTTTGTTTGTTTGTTTGTTTGTTTGTTTGTTTTTTGTGGCTTCTCATCCAACTAGAATAGAAACCCCATGGAGTAAACCCCCTAATTTAGTCACTCCTGGTTGTAGTCCTTGAGAAGGCAAACGCTTTACCAGGCAACTCAGAGAAGCTGGGCAAAATCACAGGCCCTCCTAGGACTTTTGCTGGATTTCCTCAAAACAGCAAACTTTTCTGAGTCTTTGAAAAATTTCAGAGTAAGAAACAATGGGGGGGACCAACAGTTGGCGTAATGACTGTGTCTCTGGACTCCCATGTAGTTGAGTCCCAGACCCGGTAGTTTAAACTCACGCCGGGCACATGTGCGTGTGTGTGCCCAAGATCCTGAGGGGAGAATGGAGGAGAAGGGATTACAGCATGACCATCCCTGTCTAAGAAACAACGGGAGGGAAAAAGTCATTGAATGGGTGAAGACCACAGGGCAGGCACACCAAGAAATCTGCCTTTTCAGTTTCCTGTTCTCAGGCTGCCGCATTTCATTCAATGTCGGCTTTTCTGTGCTTGGCCTGCGTCCCTGTGGCTCCTGGGAGCTCTGACGTCCCTGTCAGTGTGCCCTGACGGTGCAGAGCCAGCCTCTGGCTCTGGAGCTCTAGAACAAACTCACAGTGGAGATTCCCCACCCAGCCCAGTGAAGTAGAACCTGCCAGAAACGGAGGGCCTCGTTTTAAAGTTTGGATTTCCTAAAAGGGAAGACTGCACAATTTCAGGTGCTTTTCTTCTCAAAGATGGAGATACGTATGGGTATGTACTGGGTGTCATATATAGCAAGGGAACTGTGACCAGGAAAGGTCTCAAGGTTGCAGCGACCTTCCTAAAACCTCAGACCTTTGACTCCCAGCACAATGAGTGGCCCTGAAATAAGAATGACAAGACCAGGGGCCGACAGGTGGAGTGGTGGTTAAGGTGCTGGACTCCCACATGGCTGACCAAAGTTTGAGTGCTGAACCTGCTGGCTTGCTTTCTGACTTTCCATGTCTCTCTCTCTCTCTCCCTCTCTCTCTCTCTGGTCAAATAAAAATAATAATAATAATTTTAAAATTAAATAATTCTTTGAAAAGAAAAAAAAGGAATTACAAGGCTGATCAGCCCTGGGGAGAGCTAGTTCTGCCCGTCTCCACTCACATAAAGCTCACGAGAAAGCGCAGAGAGCTGGTTTAATTATTTACTCTAGAGATTTGTCTAAGAGCAAAGCCTCCTAAGCAAACCGAAGCTAGATCAAAAGGAGGCTCAGGAAGTATCCAGGAAGTGTTGAGGAGTCAGGGGACAGCCCCTTGGGGGCTCTCTACCTCCTGGTTTAATTTTCTGGCTACACTCATCTGCTATTTCCTTGCCTTTTTTCTTGTTTATTTGTTGTCATCCTCCTCCGTGAGAACAGAGAGCTCCCCACTCCTGTTCTTGCCTCTTTCCAGCTCCTAGAACACATCCTGACATACATTAGGCCTTGAGTAACTAGCTGTCGAATGACTAAATGGAGGGAGGAGGCTTGGGTTCCCCGCAGCTCCTTTCCCCACCACCAGTACTGGGGCAAGGGGGGTCTTTCTCCTCATGTCTTTCCCTCACCCCCTTCACATCATCTCCCTGCTCAGAGTTCTTCAGGGGCTCCCCACCTCTCATAGGATAAAATCCCACATCCACTGTTGTCACAGTCACTTGTCCCCTCTCTTTTGCTAAAGCTTCCTTTTTCTTTTAATTGCCAGAGGGCACATGGACTGACCAAAACAAGACAAAGAAAGCCCCCCCCCACCTGCCCCAGTGGGGTAAGGCCACACCACAATCCTTTCTCTGCTGTTTCTCCATCCTGTGGGGATGTGGGGCACATATGCACATGGACCTAGCATGCTTTTCAAGCTACTGCAGTGGGATTTGAACCACAGTAGGCCATATGGGGGTCTAGTTTCCTTAGCCACTAGGCTCCAGGGTGACCTTTTCCTTTCTTCTGGCTACACTCATCTGCTATTTCCTTGCCTTTTTTCTTGTTTATTTGTTGTCATCCTCCTCCGTGAGAACAGAGAGCTCCCCACTCCTGTTCTTGCCTCTTTCCAGCTCCTAGAACACATCCTGACATACATTAGGCCTTGAGTAACTAGCTGTCGAATGACTAAATGGAGGGAGGAGGCTTGGGTTCCCCGCAGCTCCTTTCCCCACCACCAGTACTGGGGCAAGGGGGGTCTTTCTCCTCATGTCTTTCCCTCACCCCCTTCACATCATCTCCCTGCTCAGAGTTCTTCAGGGGCTCCCCACCTCTCATAGGATAAAATCCCACATCCACTGTTGTCACAGTCACTTGTCCCCTCTCTTTTGCTAAAGCTTCCTTTTTCTTTTAATTGCCAGAGGGCACATGGACTGACCAAAACAAGACAAAGAAAGCCCCCCCCCACCTGCCCCAGTGGGGTAAGGCCACACCACAATCCTTTCTCTGCTGTTTCTCCATCCTGTGGGGATGTGGGGCACATATGCACATGGACCTAGCATGCTTTTCAAGCTACTGCAGTGGGATTTGAACCACAGTAGGCCATATGGGGGTCTAGTTTCCTTAGCCACTAGGCTCCAGGGGGTGACCTTTTCCTTTCTTTTTTTTTTTTTTGAAGTTGTTCCAGTGGTGTCTAAAAATAGTTCCCTCAGTATAGAAACTCCTCACACCTCTGTATCCTCCCCATGGCTCCCCCTTCTCCTTGACCAGCTCCTACTCCAAGCACGCCACTCGCTCAGGGACGCCGTCTCTCGCTCATTGGAGCAGACTTCCAAGTCTTCCCCCGCCTCTACCAACGCCCAGTCTGTCCAGCTTGTCAAATGGTGCTGTTATTTTCTGTTCATGTTTCAGTCTCCCTTGGAAGTAGGTGTTTTTCTTTCCATCTGTGGGTTCTCAGCACCTAGTCAGCAACAGCAGATATTAAAGAGTGGTTATATTTGTTGACTGACGGTTGCTGGAAGTCACTCCCGGAGACTGATGACATCAACAATTATGTGCAATGGCCCCTGGAGGTATTCAGAGAAAGAATCTCAACCAGTTAGGATCAGGAACTCACATTTATTGGGTTCCAACTAGGTGTCAGATACTAGGTCGTGGTTTTTTATTTCTTCCTCAATCCCTAAAATAAACCTGGGAAGCATTGTCATCTCCATTTTACTGACGAGAGCATAGAGGTCAAAGAAGGTTAAGTAATTGTACAGATTTATAGTCCTAGTATTTGGTCTGTTCTCAAAGGAAGTGAAGTTTTACCCATTGTATGCATGGTCATCAAAATGATTCTTGCAGTATTATGTGGGGGAAGCTGAAGGGCAGAAGAAGATTCTTAGGGACCACTGGACACAGAAGAGCCTTCTGAATAACCAGAGGATCCTCTATGTTCCTTTGGGCCACTACAAAAATCGTCTTTTCAGCATCTTCATTTGTATTGCCTTTAACTTTCTTCTTTGTCATTGAAATCCTTTAAAAGAAGCCAGTGAAGATGAGGAGGGCTCCTTGTTTAAAGACCCACTTTGAAGATAAAGCACTGGCAGATTAAGCAAAGGAGTGCGGCTCTAGCGCCAAACAATCTGGACAGCGAATGAGTCACTTCTCCCGCTGGGCCCCAGTCTTTCTGTAAAATCAGAGGGTTGAACTAAACAATTGCCCCGGGCCTGTCCAGAGGAGGCATCCAGCAATGCAGCTGGGGCGGGGGTGGGGGGGGCATCCAGATCCAGACCCACCACCAGCAGGGCCAAGACCACCCTCATGTGCGGTGGCAGAGGCAGCTGTTCTCCCCAGATCTGTTTTCTTTTCCTCCCTGGTTTCAAAACTAGGAACATCTCTGCTTCCCTCGTAGCTAGGCGTGGCCTCTTATAGCCCATGGTGTCTGAGCCGAAGTCACAAGGGTCAGCCTTGGCTGGCACTGTGGACAGCTGCCTGTGACAGAAATACTTCAGTGTCCGGTTTTGTTTATCAACAACACGTGGATGAGATAGAGGAAGAGGAATCCACTAGGCCAGGTCTGAAAGAAAAGTGGGTGTTCTGGCCTCCAGCCTGCCCTGTCCGTGCCCCCCCACCCTTCAGACATTAGTCATGTATTCAGCAAATCTTGTCTGTTCTCCTACTGTGTGTCAGCACATAAGATTGAGTGACTTAGAGCTGAGAGTTACATGGGTCCTCCCCTACGGTCAGATGGAAAGCGTGATATCACTTATCCCCTTGCTTGGTAGTTAGTTGCCTGATGGGACACCAGAATCTTGGGTGTCAAAGTGCCATCTCGACCAGGAGTGTTAAGTCTTTTAGTTGTAAAAATAGCATTGTATAGAAAGGACCTGGCTTGGTGCTTGGCATTTGGAGACCCTTAAATGCCCTTGAGACCTTGGCGAGTAGCAGGGTTGATGTGAGCAATGGGGGATAGGGAAGGGTTGAGAGAAACAGACCAGCAAACACGCTGTTACAACACAACGTGGTGAGCTAGGAGGAAGTCCAGGCTGTCACTCAGCCATACAGCAGGGGCAGCTAACCTAGGCTGGTGAGCGGGGGTGGGGAAGCATCAAGCAAGGCTTCCTGGAGGAAGTGGCATATGACCTAAGATTAGATGACACCTAGGGGTTAGCCACGTAAAGTGAGGGGGGAGGGGGAGCACTGTCTGCCCAGGCTCAGAAAAGCTTTGAGAGTGCCACAGAGAACTGTGAGAGAGGATGGGGGGAAGGCAGAGAGAGGAGGTGAGCGAGGGAGCAGAAGTCGGCCTGAAAGGCTGCGGAGGGCCTGCAACAGGAAACTGCTAACAGGCATCTGGCTCCCTAGGACTCCTGTCTTTCAGGGTCACATTTGTCAGGCCCTGGGAGAGGAATGAAGAGGACGAAGGTGCAGAAAGAAAAGAAAGATAAAGGAAATAACAGTTGTTAAACATCTATAAGATGTTTGACTGCATTAGTCATCTGGGAAATGCAAATTAAAACCGCAGTGCATACCCAGCTAGAAACAAACAGACCAAGGTTAGAGTGAAGATGTAACACCCCCACCCTGACTCTGACACACATACGCCCTGTCTTGACCAGATCCAGGAGTTTCCAGCCCCCTGGGGGGAGGCTCCTACACTTTAACAAGTAGAATTTGATGAGGGAAAGAATCTAACGCTTCGAGGCTCCATCTCTGCCTTCTCTTCTTTTCTACCTTAACCTGACCTGACAATTCAGCTATCCAGAATGCTCCACCTACCAGAAAATACATTTCTCAAACATCCAGAAGGTCGATTGTCATGTTCCCAGACCCTTCCGGAAGGTCCCTGATGCGTTGGAAAGAAGTGGAGCTTTGGGTCCAAGCAGGCTGATCCCTGTCTCTACACTGACCTGCTGCCTGACTGTCGGCCAGCAGCCCGCCCTCTCCTGAGCCTCTGTCTGTGAGGTGGAATTATAGTAGCTGCTTCCCTGCTATTTCCCTAAGCCAAATGCCGACTGACTGGAGAGAGAAAATAGGAAATCATGTGTTTTGATTAGAGCCATTTTCTGAGGTTACCAACATTCATCCCTCATGCGTGTAAGTAATCACACTAAAGTCTATAAACGTATTTATAATTAAGTCATGGAGAGAGGTCTGAGGGATCGTCAGGTGGTGTGGTGGTTAGGGCACTGGACTTCCACATGGTCAACTGACCATGGTTTGAGTCCCGGACCTGGTGGCTTGCTTTCTCACTTCCTCTCTCTCTGTGTCTGCCCATCTCTGGTCAAATTAAAATAAAGTTAAATTTAAAAAAAATTAAAAAGAGAGATCTGATGTAGCTGACCTGGTTATTAATATTTTGGGGCAGGAATAAAAAGGTAAAAAGGCATTCAACATTATTATCATCCAAAGAACAGTAATGGAAAGGTAAAGGCTTTAGAGCCCCCTCGGCCTTTCTCAGTCCCCTGTGGGGCAACTGGGGTTTCTCAGGCTGAAATGGAAACCAGATACTGCAAAGCTTCATGGGAAATGACGTTTATGAGAGGCCTTAGAGCAGAGCAGTAGAGAATGGGAAGGGTCAGGGGTTTCCAAGAGGAAGAAACTGGTCCCAGAGAGGTGATACACCTGCCCAGCACCGCACAGCCCTCTGATTGGCTCCTGGTACCACATTGCCCCTAACTTGCCAGGCTCAGGCGTCTCCACGTGCACCTCTTTTGGGCTTTTCCTGCGTGTAGAATGCGCGAGCTGGTTCTGCTGGGAGAAGAGATGACTGCAAAGGGAAAAGCATGGGGCGCAGCAGTGAGCAGGGCTGGTCCCTCTGTACATAACCTCCAGACTCAAGCCAGCAAGCCTCTGAAGGCAGTGGTGGCTCCAGGACAGAGTGCCTGGCACATATGAGGCACCCAGGGAATTACAGGAACCCGGTAAAGAAGTGTGTCTTAGCAGCGAGCAGCTAACCAGAAAGCTGGTACTGGAAGGATATAACAAGAAACCAGTGATGGACGCTGGCCCTGTGCAGGGAGACTGAGCAGATAAGAGAAAGGAGGGCCGTCACTGTTCACTACACACCCTTTTATTCCTTTGCAGTTTTGTACCACTGGTTATTTAAAAAGTACTAATGGGACCAGCAGTTAGTATAATGGCTGGACTCCCATGTAGTCAACCGAGGTTCGAGTCCCGGACCCGGTGGCTTAAAACTCACGCCAGACACATGTGTGTGCATGCCCAAGATCCTGAGAGGAGAATAGAGGAGAAGGGATTGTGGCGTGGCCATCCCCTCTAGGGGGTGATTTCTTGCTTTCTATCTCTCTGTCTCTGTCTTTCTGGCGAGCGCATGCGCCCAATAAGAAAAAACCTCTCCAAAAAAAAAGGAAAAGAAAAAAAGTACTAGTGGAAAAAAGTATCGTACTTTAATGACAGCCTGAGTAATCGGAGGACAGGACATGCAATTCAGAGCATGGAGAAAAGGAATTTTCAAAGGAACTTGGCCATGTGTCTCTGGTACTGAGGCTGAGAGAACTGAGACCAGAAGAGCCAGGTCTCCTGTCCCAGAGACCGCACTCTAGCCAGACAGCCTCTGCCCTTACGGTGGTTTCCAGGAGCAGCCGTCCTGGAAGGGGTGGTGGTGGCGCAGAGTATGGAGTGGCCTGGAGAGGGGCCGTGTGCTCTGCTTGGCCCCCCCCCCCCCCCCCCCCAGCAGTTATTAAGTAAGCGTGTGGATATACTTGAGCCTCCTGAGACTTGGGGCAGGTCACCAGCTCTTCTTGGAACAGGGTGCTTTTGAATGAGTTGATCTACTTAACTCTGCACACTATCCCACCTGCCTGCTCAAAACCTAGGACCCTGTGGCAGGGCAGTGCTGTAGAACTGGGATGGGGTGGATTGACCCTGGGGGCAGAGTAGTCACTGTGGGAAGTCGGAATGCCATGTGGTCACCTTCTCTGTGGAGCTCTCGGCACTTGAATGACTTTTGGTAGTCATCGAGCCCCATCCACCCTTTTGCTGATGAGACCTAACAGGCTCTCCCAGGAGGAGAGCCCAGATCTTCTCATTCCCTGCCCAGGTTTTCTAATCATGTTTCTCTGTGACAATTACATAAAGGCATTTCTTTTCATCACATGGAATGGAAAAGGATAAATTTTGGTTAGCAAGTGTGGCTCCAGAACCAGCAGTTAGCATAATGGCTATGTCACTGGACTTCCATGTAGTTGATCGCAGTTCATGTCCCGGACCCAGTGGCATGAACTTTTCCCGGGCGTGTGTGCGACTTCCACCAAGATCCCAAGAGGAGAATGGAGGAGGAGGGATTGTGGCGTGGCCATCCCCGCTGGAGAATGATTTCTAACTTTCTGTCTCTCTGTCTCTCTCTGTCTTTCTGGCAAGTGCACGCACCCTACAGCAACAACCTCTCCAAAAATTAAAAAAAAAAGTAAATAAAAAAGAAAAATAAAAAAAAAGGAAGTGTGGCTCTTACTTGTTCTGGTCTCAGATTGGAGCCCCAATCACTCCTTACTGACTTCTAGCCTCTCATTTCTGGGGGGGGTGGGGGGGCAGGGAGCTAAGGAGGGCAGAGGAGCATTTGTGCAAAGGGTGTCTAGATTTACGGTCTGATAGAATCTTGGGGGTGGAGCTGGGGAAGGTCCAAGATGGGAGGGTTTTGACTTGATCGACCGGCTCTCGCTCTTGTGGGTGTTGCCTAGGCAGGCAGATAGTTCTCTCGCTCCTTCCCAAAGATATCACCAGCCTCCCTTAAGACAAAAGGAACTTCTGTGCTGTGAGACACTTTGGGGAGGTAGCACATAGCACCTACCCCAGGAAAAAGAATAAACCGAGTGAAAAACTGATGACAATTCAGTTCAAAAGAGTAAAAGCTGGCAGGAGTATGGCTAGTGAAAAGGCTAAGAGGAGAAGGATATTGAAAAGATTGATGTAACTCATCAGGGAAAATTCCATTCACTTAGCCAAGTGATCTTGAATTAAAACCTATCCTGTACCAGGTACAGTTCAAGCACTGGGCTGCAGTCAGACCAGGAAGGGTGCAGAGAACCGTGCATGTGACCGGGAAGAGGCACATTCAACATCACGGGTGATTCTCAGCCAAATGGAAAATGAAGTTCAAGGAGAATGGAGAAGAAATGAGATCTTCAAACACAGGTCAGCAGTTTCGAGAGGGTGACACCTGCACAGTTTTTACAACCTGGGAGAAAGGCAGAGGGAGATGCAAAGTGAGAGCCGCTTCGGCATCCTGGGAGCTAACTACCGTGTTTGCACTGCGCACTGGGGGAATCCCTTCATCAGAGAGCACGGCCACGTACCTCGTTCTCTGGCCACAGAGGCTCTCTGCTGTCCCTTGCCCTCCCCAGGCATGCTCCCTGGTCCTGCCTTTTATCTAGCGCATCAGAGTTTCCTTCCTTTGCAGGGCTTCTTCCCAACAAGTAGCACACTTTAGCAGATGCATAGACAAGCTGAAATGCTGCGACAGAAGATACAACTCCCTAGAAAGAACCCTGTCTAATTCACCTTTAAGGATTTTTATTATGCCAGAGCGCATGTGCTTGAGAAAGAGAGAGAGAGCGAGGGAGAGAGAGAAGGAGGGAGAGAGAGGAATCCTCAATGGGGTCTGGTTATCTTGCAGTACTTTTTCCTCCAATTCTCCACCTTGTCAGGATCCTGGGCATGCTCCTGCATGTGTGTGGTATGTTTTTCAAGCTGATGAGCCAGTCCCTAACCATGGTCAGCCCTGTGGGATCCGACTTCCTCTGCATGGCACCTAACTGTTATACTATGGGGCTGGCTTCGGATTTTTTTTTTAATTTAAATAAACAATATTATCATAGTCACACCTTTATAAAAAGTACATTTAAAACCTGATTTTAGGGGCTGACAGGTAGTGTGGTGATTAAGGGCATTAGATTCCCACGTGGCCGACCATGGTTCAAGTCCTAGAACTGGTGGCTTGTTTTCTCACTTTCCCTTTCTCTTGTTGTCACTTTTGCTCTGTCCCTCTCTGGTCAAATTAAAATAAATAAATAAATAAATATTTAAAAATAAAACCCTGCTTTTAAAAATTCACTAGGAAACATTTATAGTGGTTGAATGGCACAACTATGGGAGATTTTTGTTTTCTCCAGTTTTCTCATTTTGTATATCATAGCAACATTTATTTATATGTACAATGAGAAAAGTATAGATTAATCCCATTCCCATTCTGTTTCCTCCAAAAAAGAGAATTATGAGGGCTGGGCCCATAGCACAGGGGTTAAGCACCTTATAGAGAGCCAGACCCCACATGGCCAACTGTGGTCCAAATCCCAACTTTGGCAGCTTGAAGACACTCCAAGTGTGTGTGCACACAAGCCCAGGATCTTAATATAAAAGAGGAATGAAAGAAGGGAGATTGCAGCATGACTAGGCCACATTGTGGGAGTTTTTTCCTTTTTTCTGTTTTCTCTTTCTGGCATGCATGCATACCCTTTGGCATTAAAACAAAAGAAAAAAAGGAATTTTGAGAATGATACTTAAACCAAATGCTTTAAAATCTTGTGCCACGTAAAATGTAAATTATGAAAACTGCGAAAGCATGACTGGAGTTTCATGATGCAATGAAATCAAGTCCACCACATTATTTTGATTTTTTTTTTTAAGTTTTGTTATAGGGCACATGTGCTTGCCAGAGAGAGTGGGAACGTGAGGAGATGGTCATTCCACAATCCCGTCTCCATTCTCCGTTTGGGCATGCATGCACATGCACCCAGCCTGATTTCCAAGTCGCTGGGCCTGGGACTTGAACTACGTAGTCAGGATCCAGCCACTTACATGGGATCCATCTGCCTTAGCCTTCACAGCACCTGTTGGCCCTCCTCTGATGTGTTTGATGACAAGTGTGATTACAGTGTAGCCAGGCATAAACAGCAATTTGTGTAACCCCTTGCATTGGTGTTACTTAAAACAGCCAAATTGGTCTTTGTCAGAATGCTGAGGGAGGGATGTGGCTCTGTTGGCCTTGGAAGATGTATAGACCCATTACCCAGGGACCCCACGTTGTTGGCAGACACCATCAGGCCCTGTGAGCTCTGAGGGCCTCTGGCTGACAGATGTGCAGGCCACCAAGTGGTGGCTACAGAGCAGTCACTATGGCTTCCAGGCTCCACAAAGGAGTTTTCACCCTAACAAGACTGATGCTGACAGCCAAGACCCTCCTTTCCTTCTGTCCCAGGGTTAGCCTTCTACATAGGAGAGAGCAGTAAAGATGTATTTGTGCAGCAGATAAACCATTGCCTTTAAGAGGCTGAGAGGAGGGAATATGCATTCTACAACAAATATGAATTGAGAACCTACTGTGTGCCAAGCAAAAGGGCAGCGCTACACAGGTACAGTACCATTTCTCCCTTGCCTTAGCCCAAGGTAGATGTTATTCGACTTGTTATGTAGATAACAGAACAGACTCAGAAAGGTTAAGTTACTGGCTTTGGGTCAAACATTTAAGAAGTGGTGGGTGAACCAGCAGATGGTGTAATTGGTCACGTCCCTGCACTCCCACATAGTCAATCGCAGTTGGAGTCCTGGACCTAGTGGCTTAAATCTCATACCGGGCATGTGTGCACGCATGCCCACAAACCCAAGAGGACAATGGAGAAGGGATTGTGACGTGGCCATCTCCCCAGGGAGGGGGGTGATTTCTCACTTTCTGTGTCTCTGTCTCTCTGGTGAGCACACACTCTGTAGCAAAAATCTCTCTCTAAAAAGAAGTGGTGTGTGGGACTGGCAAGTGGCATGGTGGTTAAGGCGCTGGACACTCCCACATGGCCGACCATGGTTCAAGTCCCGGACCTGGTGGCTTGCTTTCTCACTTTCCTCTCTCTCTCTTTCTGTGTCTCTCTGGTCAAATTAAAATAAATGAATGAATGAATAAATTAAATTGAATAAAATAATTAAAAAAAAAAGAAGTGGTGTGGACAGGGAGGGAAGAGGCGAGGAGGAAGGCAGGAGGGGCCTAAACTGAGCTCCGTCAGATATGGACATCCTGTCTTCTCACACTGCACTTTGCCACATAGCAGAGGTTTCCAGGCTTCATGCTTACAGACCGTGTGACCATCAGCAGCTCCTCCGAGTCCGAGTCCCTTGTTTATAAAAATAAAGTGCTTGAGAAATGTTTCCCAAGTGTCCTTTCAGAGCTGGAGTCTTTGTCAGTGTTTCCGGTCTGGTCTTTGTAGTCTCCACTGGACCAATTCCTGTTTGGTGGCAAGGGACTTGGCTCTCTCCTGGACACACCCCCTAGAGGACATTGGTGGTTCTGCAGGAGCCAGGGAAGAGCCCCAGCAGCCATCACACTAATTCAACATTAATCATGCGTTCAAAGCCCACTTTACCCACCACTTTATCTTTTTAAACAACGTGGATCTTAAAAACATTCCCACCACCCTTCCCAGGCTCAGCAGGGCAGAGCTACTGGAACATGGAATGTGAGGAACACTGGCAGCCTAAAGAGCCTATGGTTCCATGAGTCATACTTTAAAATTGGATTATATATTTACTTCTTACACCACAGTTTATTCTAGGGCCTATGAGACCATCTATTGATCCAATCCTGGTTTTGCATTGTGATTATAAAATGATATATCTGTCTCAACTCAGTTATTTTCATTAAAAAGACTATTTTTGTTAGGCAATATATGCACATGGTTCAAAAGTCACCGAAAGGTTTTCAATAATTATCTTAAGGGGCCAGCCTATAGTGTGCTGGTTAAGGCAGCTGAATCCCACATGGCCGATGATACAGTTTGAATCCTGGACCTGGCAGCTTGAGAAACATGCCAGGTACATGTGCCTACATGCCCAAAATCCCAAGAGGGAGAAACGAAGGAGAAGGAATTACAGCCCAACCACACCCCTAACAGAACAGACTCAGAAAGGTTAAGTTACTGGCTTTGGGTCAAACATTTAAGAAGTGGTGGGTGAACCAGCAGATGGTGTAATTGGTCACGTCCCTGCACTCCCACATAGTCAATCGCAGTTGGAGTCCTGGACCTAGTGGCTTAAATCTCATACCGGGCATGTGTGCACGCATGCCCACAAACCCAAGAGGACAATGGAGAAGGGATTGTGACGTGGCCATCTCCCCAGGGAGGGGGGTGATTTCTCACTTTCTGTGTCTCTGTCTCTCTGGTGAGCACACACTCTGTAGCAAAAATCTCTCTCTAAAAAGAAGTGGTGTGTGGGACTGGCAAGTGGCATGGTGGTTAAGGCGCTGGACACTCCCACATGGCCGACCATGGTTCAAGTCCCGGACCTGGTGGCTTGCTTTCTCACTTTCCTCTCTCTCTCTTTCTGTGTCTCTCTGGTCAAATTAAAATAAATGAATGAATGAATAAATTAAATTGAATAAAATAATTAAAAAAAAAAGAAGTGGTGTGGACAGGGAGGGAAGAGGCGAGGAGGAAGGCAGGAGGGGCCTAAACTGAGCTCCGTCAGATATGGACATCCTGTCTTCTCACACTGCACTTTGCCACATAGCAGAGGTTTCCAGGCTTCATGCTTACAGACCGTGTGACCATCAGCAGCTCCTCCGAGTCCGAGTCCCTTGTTTATAAAAATAAAGTGCTTGAGAAATGTTTCCCAAGTGTCCTTTCAGAGCTGGAGTCTTTGTCAGTGTTTCCGGTCTGGTCTTTGTAGTCTCCACTGGACCAATTCCTGTTTGGTGGCAAGGGACTTGGCTCTCTCCTGGACACACCCCCTAGAGGACATTGGTGGTTCTGCAGGAGCCAGGGAAGAGCCCCAGCAGCCATCACACTAATTCAACATTAATCATGCGTTCAAAGCCCACTTTACCCACCACTTTATCTTTTTAAACAACGTGGATCTTAAAAACATTCCCACCACCCTTCCCAGGCTCAGCAGGGCAGAGCTACTGGAACATGGAATGTGAGGAACACTGGCAGCCTAAAGAGCCTATGGTTCCATGAGTCATACTTTAAAATTGGATTATATATTTACTTCTTACACCACAGTTTATTCTAGGGCCTATGAGACCATCTATTGATCCAATCCTGGTTTTGCATTGTGATTATAAAATGATATATCTGTCTCAACTCAGTTATTTTCATTAAAAAGACTATTTTTGTTAGGCAATATATGCACATGGTTCAAAAGTCACCGAAAGGTTTTCAATAATTATCTTAAGGGGCCAGCCTATAGTGTGCTGGTTAAGGCAGCTGAATCCCACATGGCCGATGATACAGTTTGAATCCTGGACCTGGCAGCTTGAGAAACATGCCAGGTACATGTGCCTACATGCCCAAAATCCCAAGAGGGAGAAACGAAGGAGAAGGAATTACAGCCCAACCACACCCCCTGGGAGGAGAACTTTCTCATTTTCTCTTTCTCTCTCTGCCTCTCTCTAGTGAGGACACTTGGCCTCCAGAAAATTTAAAGAAAATGATCATTATTATCATATGACCCACAATTCTACCCCTGGGCATATACCCAAAAGAATTGAAAACAGATTAAAACAAAAGCCTATATACAGATGTTTGCAATTGCCAAAAGGTAGAAACAACTCCTATGTCAACCCCCTGAATAGACAAGCCAAATGTGGTTTCTCCACATGAAGGGATTATTCAGCCATTAGAAAGGAATGAAGGGGACCAGCTCGTAGCCTGATGGTTGAGGCAGTTGGGTCCCAGACAGCCAACTGAATGGCTGGAGTTCCACACCTGGCGGCTTGAAAAACAGGCTGTGCATGCGAGCCCAAAATCCCCAAAGGAGGGAGAGATGGAGAAGGGATTGCAGCATGACCACACCCCACGGGGGTGCTTTTTTGCCTCTCTCTCTCTTTCTCTCTCTCTCTCTCTGTCTCTTTCTGGTGAGCTCACATGCCCTCTGGCAAACATTGAAATAAATAAAAGGAGTGGAGTACTGATACATGCTACAATACGGATGGCCTCGAAAACGAAAAAAGCCATATGTAAAAGGCCACGTTATATCACTTCCTTTATATGAACTATCCAGAAGAGGCGAATCCAAGGCGAGAGAGAGCAGTTAGTGGTTGCCAGGCGAGAGCAGGAGGAACTAGGAAGTGACCTCTAACAAATACAGTCTTTTTTAGGGGTGAGGACGTTCTGAAACTAGAGAGTGGTGATATTATAGTGGCACGACAGTGTAATGTACTAAACACCACCGAATGGTACACTTTGAAATAGAATGGCAAGCTTTATGTTATTATGTATTTCGTCAGTAAATAAGCACAGGGTACTCGGTCAAAAGTAGGTTCCCCTTTCGCCAGGTCCCCTCCCGCAAGACAGAACCCAGTGCCAATGATCTTCTCTACCCTTCCAGAGATGGTTATCTTAGGAACAGGGGCATGTGTGTACAGATTACGACTATATGGTGTTTGAAGATTACTCCTCCTGGGTGCATAATATATATTTTGTAATATGGTCTATATATTTTTTTCTCTCCTTTTTTGAACACAAACGGTGGCAGTGTTTCAAGCTACCAGAGTTGGGATGTGAACCGGAAAGTGGCCATGTGGGATCTGGCTCCCTTAACCAGTATGCTACAGGGCCAGCCCTTACAACTTAGTTTTTTAAATGAGGTAAAGATATGAACACACATTTCAGAGGTGAAGAAAGACAAAAGGACTGCAGACATGTGATGGGGTCTTCACAAGTAAATGCCTATTATGAAAAAAAAAAAAAACTATACATGGATTTCCTAAAATTTTCCCACCAGAAGCATAAGTGTTAGAAGTAGGGTTATAAGAACCTATGTGTACAGCTCCCCCCCAAGTTTTAGCCCAGAAAAATCCCCTCAGTCTTGGGCAAATTGGATGGTTGCTTACTCTAACACACACACTTGACACCTTCCTGTTTCAAATATAGATAGATCACTATTTTTTAAACAAAATCAATTTTCATTGTTTTCATTATGATGACTTTATAAATAGTGTTTGCCAATGTGACTTTCCTGAAGGCTTTGAAGGCCATTGTTATGTGCAGAAAGTATTAGTTACTTTGGTTTTATAATTACCTAAGATTTTTAAAATAATTAAAATTACACATACCAGGGACCAGCAGTTAGCATAATAGCTATGTCGCTGGACTCCCACATAGTTGACCACGGTTCACATCCCGGACCCGGTGGCTTAAAACTCACGCCGGGCATGTGTGCGTGCGTGCCCAAGATCCCGAGAGGAGAATGGAGGAGAAGGGACTGCAGCGTGACCATCCCCCCTGGGCGGTGATTTCTCGCTTTCTGTCTCTGTCTCTCTCTATCTGTCTGGTGAGCGCACACACCCTATAGCAAAAACGCCAATGTGACTTTCCTGAAGGCTTTGAAGGCCATTGTTATGTGCAGAAAGTATTAGTTACTTTGGTTTTATAATTACCTAAGATTTTTAAAATAATTAAAATTACACATACCAGGGACCAGCAGTTAGCATAATAGCTATGTCGCTGGACTCCCACATAGTTGACCACGGTTCACATCCCGGACCCGGTGGCTTAAAACTCACGCCGGGCATGTGTGCGTGCGTGCCCAAGATCCCGAGAGGAGAATGGAGGAGAAGGGACTGCAGCGTGACCATCCCCCCTGGGCGGTGATTTCTCGCTTTCTGTCTCTGTCTCTCTCTATCTGTCTGGTGAGCGCACACACCCTATAGCAAAAACCTCTCCAAAAAAAAAGAAAGAAAGAAAAATAAATTACATATACCATTATTTAAAGAGTCAAATGATTCTGCAAAGCTTACCATGAAAAACAATCCATTATCTGCTCTCCAGGGGCACATCTCTGCGATTTTTGTTAGGTAACGTATTTATCTGGCACAATATTCAAAAGTCACAGAAAGGTTTTCAATGATTATCATATGATCTAGCAATTCTACTCCTGGTATATATCCAGGAAAATTGAAAGCAGGTGTTCAAACAAAAACATACACAAATATTTATAACAGTACTATTCACAATAGCCAAAAAGTAGAAATAATCCAAATGCTGCCAACTGATGAATAGTTAAGATATAATTCCCCAATATAATGGAATAATACTCAGCCACAAAAAGGAATGAAGTCTAGCAGGTGGCATGGTGGTTAAAGTGCTGGACTTTCACATGGGGAACTACAATTTGAGTCCCAGATCTGTAGCCTAGAGATTAGGGCAGCCAGATACCACATGGCTGATCGTGGTTCAAATCCTGGCCCCAGTGGCTTGAAAACATGCCAGGCACGTGTGTGTGCCCCAAATCCCTAAACCAATAGGATGGGAAAGTAGAGAAGAGTCTATGTGACCAAACTCCATTAGAGGGCGCTTTCTCTCCTACCCCTACCCCCCTCTCTCTGTCTTTCTGGCAAAAACAAATAAATAAACAAATAAATTTTAAAAAGGAATACAGGTGTGGGACCAACAGTTAGTATAATGGCTATGTCGCTGGACTCCCACGTAGTCGACCGTGGTTTGAGTCCCAGACCTGGTGGCTTAAACTCACGCCGGGCGCATGTGCGTGCGTGCCCAAGATCCCGAGAGGAGAATGGAGGAGAAGGGATTGCAGCGTGGCCATCCTCCCTGGGGGGTGATTTCTCGCTTTCTATCTCTCTGTCTTTCTGGTGAGCACACATGCCCTATAGCAAAAACTTCTTCAAAAAAAAAAAGGAATACAGGGGTCAGCTGGTGGCATGGTGGTTAGGGCACTGGACTCTCAGATGGTCGACCATGCATGGTTCAAGTCCCAGACCTGCCAGCTTGCTTTCTCACTTTCCTTCCCTCACTAGTGAGTGCATGTGCCCTATAGCAAATTTAAAAATAATAATAATAAATGAAATGAATAATTCCTTTTTTTTTTAAAAAAAAGGGAATAAAGTATTGAGGCATACTACAACATGGATGAGTCTTGAAAGCGTTATGCTAATAGAATGACGAGAAACATAAAGGATCACCTTTTATCATGAATCCGTATTTCCCCTTTCCTCCCATCTTTACAGATTCGAACAAGATCAGGAAGTCTGGACAGACAAGGTACTACTGTATTGTATTAGTACAAATACACGTGTGTGCTTCGGGTACAGATACAGCACACGCACGTCCTTTAACACACTCCGTTCAGCTCAGCCATGTTTGAGTGCGGAAATGCAGTCACCTGAACCCAAACGCTGCAATAGTACTCCATAGACTGTGTGTGCACACCAGTGGCGGCGGCGGCAGAGGGCAGAGCCCTTGGGAGACGGTTCTGTTGATAGAAATCACGGGCCACTTGCCTACAACCTACAGGATTATGTGCTGAGAGCAGAATTTCAGGAGCCCGTTTGACCTCTCCATAGCCCTCCATTGTTCCCCCTTCCCTTCCAGTGAGGGGTCAGGGATATGGCAAGATTTTTGCCTTGAAATGTTTCTATCCCAGCAAGGAGGCTCAGTTTTAGACACATGGTGTACTTGTTTTTGCTCTGTGTTCCCAAACTTCCACAGGGAAGAGCTTTTATAAATGTGCAGAATTCTCCGTGGGCTTGTGTTTATTAAGTCCCACTGTTTGCAAAGCATTTTGTGGGAGCATAAACATGGTAAAACAGGAAGTTAGTTTTATCATTAGTCTGAAATCAAGTGCTTCGGAAGATAAAAAGGCTGCAGCCAGAGGAGGTTTTAACACGAAGAAAGTCACAACAGGAAGTTAGGTGACTCTGGCTTGGCCTCTCCCATTCACCACTTTGGGGCATGTTCATTCATTTGTCTCAGAAATACCTATTTGTGCAGGGCCCCGTCTGACCGTGGTATACAGTGGGCAGAAGAGCCACTCAGTCAAAGTGCAAGGACTCCAATGCATAGACTCCTCATGGCTTTCTTTTTACTGCTGTGGAATTACGTTATGTGAATGAATCATGCTTCATTTGTTCATTCTCCTGAAGACAGATGATGTCTGGGTTTTTCTGTTACAAACAACCATCTTGCACACCCTCCTGGTACACAGGATGAAAGTTTGCTAACTCGGCAATTCTGAAAATGTGATCCAGGTATTCATGGGGGTCCCTGAGACCCTTTGGGGGGGGTCTATGAAGCCAAAAAAACTAATTTCATAATCACATTCTCTCATTCTGTTGGGCATACGCCATGGAGTTTTCCAGAGACTGCATGACGCATTCACAAATATCTGAAAAGGCTCTTCAAACACTCCCACCTCTTCCAATTAAGTATCTGTGTGAGGCTGGATCTTCTTCCCACAGTTTAAACAGAACCATGTATCACCACATTTGAATACAAAGCAAGATTCCAGTTGTCTTCTAGTAAGCGAGACAGTAAAGAGATTTGCAAAATGGGAAACAATGCCACTCACCTCCCTAAATTTTAAAATAAAAAGAATTGCTTTTGATAAAATAAGTTGTGTTCATACAGAATGGGTTTTCAAATTTTAAAATTAGGTATTATATGTTTAAAATGTGTTTCAAGGGCCAGCAGGTGGTGTGGAGGTTGAGGTGCTGGACTCCCACATGGTCGACCATGGTTCAAATCCTAGACCTGGTAGCTTGTTTTCTCACTTTTCTTCTCTGTCTCTCTCCAGTCAAATTGAAAAATTATAATAATAAATAAGATAAAGTAAATAATTCTTTAAAAAGATGTTTTTCAGTTTTAATATCTTTTGAGAGTTTTTTTTTTTTCTTTGCTGTAGGACATGTGCACTTGCTGGAAAGACAGAGAGAGACAGAGAGATCAGAAAGTGAGAAATCACCCCCAGGGGGGATGGTCATACCGCAATCCCTTTGCTTCCCTTCTCCTCTCAGGATCTTGGGCACGCACGCACATATGCCCAGCCTGGTTTAAGCTGCCGAGACTCTCACTGCCATCGACTACGTGGGAGTCCAGCAACATAACCATTATGCCATCTGCTGATCCCCCAATTTTAACAATTTTAGAAGCTTACTTATTTCTAGGCCAGCAAGTGGCATGGAGTTTAAATCACTGGATCCCACATGGCTAGCTGTGTAGTTTGAGTCCCAGATCTGCCAGTTTGAAAATCACTGAAGATATGTGTGCATGTGTGTCCAAATTCCTAAGAAGAGAATGGAGGACAAGGAATTGTGGGTGTGGCCATCCCCCCAGGGAGTTACTTCTTACTTTTTCTCTCTCTGTCTCTCTCTGGCAAATGTATGGTCCTTATAGCAAAATAAACAAACAAACCAAAAGTTTATTTATTTCTCTCCGACCTCAGTGAGAGAGACATAGGGAAAAATGTAGAGAGACAGCACTCCCTACAGTGCCCTCACGCCACAACCCACTCCAGCCCCAGAGAGCCCTGGATCATGGCACGTGAGCGCCTGGAGTGCTCAGGGCACATCGGAAGCCTCAGATGCATAGCCTCCCATGTGGGTCAGGCCCCTGGGGCACTGCATCACTGCTGGGCCAGCATCTACCCCCCACACTCCCAGTTCTACTTTCTAATACAGTAAGTATTGATAAATAAAACCCACGTCAACAAAAGCTCTTTGGAGTTGGGGTGTGTGTGTGTGTGTGTGTGTGTGTGTGTGTGTATGTATGTGTTTCCTTTCCATCATTTTTAAGAGCATAAAAGGGTCCTGAAACTAAAAACCTGAGACGCACTGCCCTGGAGTAGAACTCCCCTCTTTAAGTGGGAAGTCTCATAATCACTGATGATTCGGTTCATTTTGACCTAGAGTGCATTTTATATAGAGCCCTCTCAGACCAGAACAACTCCAGGTAGTTCAGAAATGCATACATATTTACTAAAACTGAAAAGAGAAAAAGGAAAGAAAAGAAAAAGAAAATAGAAGGCAAGGTGATGCTGAAATTACAGGACGGTGGTTACCTTTTGGGTCTGTCTTGGTTTGGCTGTTCTCGGTTATTTTCAGGGCACAGGCCTATCCAGAGAGGATGAGAACATGGCTTATGTGTCACAAGTTACAGCTCATTTGACCTCATCAATTCTCTCATGTTTCTGACAGTTAACATTTTTTCCTTCCTGAAAAACTACAGGGGAAGCCTCCCTCCCACCACTTACACTCAGCCTGGGCTCCTTCCCAGGCTCTCCGCAGAGACACACTCTTCACTTGATTCAAAGCCAGTCTTTAGCACAGGGGGCATCTATGAGAAACCAGAGTATCCCCACAGAACAACTGGCTAAGAAGAGCACCCCAAACCACCAGAATGGGGACCAGCTGGGTTCACAGTGGCAACTCCACACTCTGTGATATTGGGGCCAGATGGGAAGGTCCTGGGTTCACGACCCAAGGCCTCCCTGAGTGTGTTGGGCAAGCACGGCCTGTGATCTGGGCTAGCTGAGGCCAGGGGTGGATCACTATGTGAAGATCCTTGAACGGGCGCTTCTCTCGCTCTCTCCTTCTCTCTTTCTCTCTCAGAACTTTTTTTTAAGCAAACTTTTTAAAAAAGAATTATTTTACTTAATTATATTTATTATTATTATTTCATTTGACCAGAGACAGAGAGAGAAGTGAGAAAGCAAGTCACCAGATTCATCACTTCAGTTGGCCATGTGGGAGTCCAACACCCTGAACCACCATGCCATCTGCTGGCCCCAAACAAACTTTTAAAAATGTCAAAGTGTTAAAAGAAAACCAAGTACAAGGAGGGTGGGCCCTGGTTATGTGCCCCCATCCTCCCAGACATAGAACTGGGAGCTTGGCTGGGCTGCATTTAGGGGCCCACAGTCCTTATCTGCAAGGGTGTTTTATAGTCTGCCTATTTGATTTGGTATGAGTCTATTTAATTAGATTTAATTCCCTTTAACTTGTAAGCGTCAGGTGCTGAGCAAGGCAATTATGTTTATGCTGCTGAGAAACACGCTGGAAAAAGTCCTCAGAAAACAACTGTGTTGGTGATGTAACTGCAGAAATGGAGCCTAATTAGCAGGTATTTTAACAAGAGACGGACTAAGAGCACTGCAGGTTCTGAGTTTTGTTATTCCTGAGGAGTTGTGTTCTCAGTCCCTCATCTGAGACCTCTGGGCTTCAGCAGTGCAGAGAATTCACATCTCACACCAAGCAGGGCCACAGAGAGCGCCCCTCCACTCCAGTGTAGTTTAGAAACATGTTTTTGTGCTGCTATCTGGAACTGGAAAAGCAAGGAGAAAACAAAACAAAACAAAACAAAACAAAACAAAAAACTCAAGGAGGAGAAATTGTAGCACCCCTACGGCAACTCCGCTGGAATTTCCTTTTCAAATTTTTTTTTTTTTAAATTTTTAGAGGTTTTTGCCATAGGGTATGTGTGCTTACAGGGGAGAGAGACAGTGAAAGGGAAAGTGAGAAATCACTCCCTACGGGGGATGCCCACATTGCAATCCCTTCTCCTCCATTCTCCTCCTGGGATCCTGGACACAAATGCACATGTACCTGAAATGATTTTCAAGCCACCAGGTCTGGGACTCAAACCATGGTTGACCATGTGGGAGTCCAGTGACATAACCACTGTGCCACTTGCAGGGCTTCTGAATCCAATTCTGACATTCTTCTTTTTTTATAAAATTCCCCAGAGGGCACATGCACTCCCCAGAGAGAAAGAGAGAAAGGGAGAGAGAGAGAGAGAGAAAAAAAAAACCGCCATTCCCCCCTCCAGGGAGGATGATCACATCATAATCCCTTGTCCTCCTTTTTTCCTTCCTTTTGGGATTTTGGACTTGCACATGTGTGCACCTGCAGTGTTTTTCAAGATGCCAAATCCAGGACTTGAACCGCATAGTCAGCCACATGGGATCCAGTTGTTTAACCACCTCCCCACCACCCAATTCTGACGTTACAATTAGCTCTTTCTTTTTTAAGAATTATCTTTTACATTTAACCTTTTTTTACTTATTTTAATTTGATCAGAGAGGGACAGAGTGAGAGAAAAGAGAAAGTGAGAAAGCAAGCCGCCAGGTCTGGGACTCTAATTGCAGGCGTCCATGTGGGAGTCCAGTGCCCTGAACCACCACGCCACCTGCTGGCCCCAGAATTAACTCTTATTACATTGAAAAATATATTCCTGAGCCAGCCCTGTGGCCTAGTGGTTAAGGGAGCTAGATCCCACATGACTGAATGATTTGAGTCCTGGACCTGGCAGCTTGAAAAACATACCAGATGTGTGTATGTGCGCATACCCAGAATCCCGAGAGGAAGGAGCCTCACTCTCTCTGGTGAGTCCTTGCATGCTGGCAAATTGAAAAAAGAAGGAATAAAAAAAGTCAAAAATATATTTATTTATTTTGAGTGAGTAATTTTGATCACCAGACAGTAGAGAGGAGAAAAGGTAGCAAGGTGAGCTGGTAAAAATCAAATAAGTTACTCTAGTAAATTGCAGGAGAAGCTACAGATGTCAGCCAGACCTTATGGAGAGACAAAGCAAAAGGAAGAAAGGGGAGGGGGGGAAACAGAATTGGAGAATGTTTACATTCTTGAAACCACAAATGTGAAGTGAGATCAGAACCCAGTGGGAGTTTAACAAAACAGAGTTAAGTTCAAAGCAGAGGTTGCTCTGTGCATATTCCCCTCCCAGTTGCCCTGGCAATGAGACCTCTGCCTGACGGTAAGGAAATCATATTGAGGAGAAACTCACAAGCGCAAGAGTTTCTGGGCCTTCAGACTTGCAGTTTCTCCCCCTACTTTGGCCAGGAGAATGCAGGAAACAGGATAGGGAGTTGCGTACCTGCAGCTGGGCTGCTGGCTTGCTCCTCCGCCCGACTGCCAGCAGGAAACCTCAGGAGCCCCGGCCTGGCGAGTCTCAGAAGCTAACCTCCTGGAAGCCTTCCCCAGGGTTTGGCATTGGGATTTTGCACTCAGGAGGGGTGAGCGTGTGGAGCTGTGCTACCTTGTTGATTCTCGAGCATGTCGTGGAGAAGGCAAAGTGAACAAGGTGAGATCTACAACCTCCAGGTGAAGAGAAGTGCAGGTGTGCTACCCCACAACCTGTGATAGGAGGGTGAGTCGAAGGCATAAACAATGTATTATAGGAATTCTTTGCACTTTTTAAAAAAGAATTATGTTATTTCATTTTATTTAGTATTATTATTTTAAAAATTTGACGAGAGAGAGAAAAAGGGAAAGTGAGAAAGCAAGCCACCAGGTGTGGGACTTGAACCATGGTCGCTCATATGAGAGTTTAGCACATCAACCATCACACCACCTGGCCTCTCTTTGCATCCTCATTCTTTTTCTTTTTTCTTTCTTTTTTTGAGAGGTTTTTGCTATAGGGCGCGTGTGCTCACCAGAAAGACAGACAAAGACAGAGAGAGAGACAGAGAGAGAAACAGAAAGCAAGAAATCATCCCCTGGGGGTGATGGCCATGCCGCAATTCCTTCTCCTCCATTCTCCTCTCAGGATCTTGGGCATGTACGCACACACGCCTGGTGTGAGTTTAAGCCACCAGGTCTGGGACTCGAACTACGGTCGACTACATGGGAGTCCAGCGACATAGCCATTATACCAACTGCTGGCCCCATATTCTTTTTCTTATATAGGCCTTATTTTATAGCAACTTAGCAAATATGCAAATAAATGAAAGGGGGAACCAGCAGTTAACGTAATGGCTATGTCACTGGACTCCCACGTAGTCGACCACGGTTTGCGTCCCGGACCCGGTGGCTTAAAACTCATGCCGGGTGCGTGTGCGTGCGTGCCCAAGATCCCAAGAGGAGAATGGAGGAGAAGGGATTGCGGCATGACCATCCCCGCTGGGGGATGATTTCTTGCTTTCTGTCTCTATGTCTCTCTTTGTCTGTCTGGCAAGTGCACGTGCCCTATAGCAAAAAACCTCTTCAAAAAAGAAAGGGAAAAAAATCTCACCAAATCTCATCTGCCAGAAAGAACCATCAACATGTTAACATTAAAAGTACATCTTTTCACATTTTCTTATGAAAATGTAATCATGTGCTAAAAACATATATATGCTCTCTCTGTATGAATGTTTTTCCAAAATAGAATCACACTACCATACATATAGGATTTTACCTTTTGGTGACTATTATACCGCGGCCATCTCCCACGGGTGCTGCAGGTTTGCTCAGGCAGCATTAAGCTGGCTCCCAGCATGGAGAGAAATGGCCACTCCTCCTTCGGGAGCTCTTCTCAGCTAAGCTGAATGACCCCCTCCCCCCCACACACCAGACAGCCCGGGGGGTCACTTCCCTTGCCTCCCACCATCCAGCTAATGTCTATGCTTCCTTTTGGGGTCCTTTCCCATGTCCTCTCTGCTCCTGGTCCCCCAGGGGTTTAGGGTTAAGCCATTCTGTTCATTTCAACCAGACTCACTTTTTCCACTTGCTGCAGTGAAGAGAGACACTTAAATCTCCCATTCTGGTATCAAGCTCCATTTTTCATTGATTTCAGACTAACATTTTTGTTTCTTTTAGGTTTTTTCCCATAGGGCATGTGTGCTCACCAAAGACAGACAGAGAGGGAAAGTGAGAAATCACCCCCTGGAGGTGATGGCCACACCACAATCCCTTCTCCTCCTGGGATTATGGGTACACACACTTGGTGTGATATTCTATTTTTAAGAATGATTTTCTTTTATATTTTACCTTTTTATTTTATTTATTGTTATTTTCTAATTTGACTAGAGAGAGACAGAGAGAGGAAAAATGACAAAGCAAGTCACCAGGTCTGGGACTTGAACCATGGTCAGTCATGTGGGAGTCCAGCACCTTTAACCACTATACCACCTGCTAGCCCCCACTTGGTGTGATTTTCAAGTGCCAGATCTGGAACTCGAACTGCGGTTGGCCATGTGGGAGTCCAGCACCCTAACCACCATGTCACCTGCTGGCCCCGGGCTAACATTTTCTTTCACTGACTCAATGAGGACAGATCACATATGGTGGCGTATGGCTCCTCCCTCATGTGTCCCTGTCTGTCATGGTCATGACATCATTGACTGTATAAAACAGTCATTGAGAAGAACCAGAGGGCAGACAGCGAGAAGAAAACAGACCTTCATTTTTCCCCTTAAGCCAGCTGGTGTCATCTGAAAGGACACACGCCAGCCCCTTGCCTGTCTGCCTTCAGACATGCTGGCTCTTCTGCAGGGAGCTGTCACAGGAAGACAGATGTAAAAGAGCCAAGAGATCTGTCTGTAGCCCCTGGTCCTCCTCCCAGCAGAAACATGAGTGTCTGTGACACTGAAATCACACTGCAAGAAATGGTAGTGTCCCCTCCACCTGCAGCGACCCTCCTTCCTCTTTTCTGCATGAAGAATCCCACTCTACCTCCAGGAAGCTTTGCTCATTCCCATGAGAAGTTGGGACTCACTCCTTGATGCTCCCTGTAGGTCATGCGAGGGTCCATGAGCGGTCAGGTGTGGAGGGCAGAAGCTTAGCACGGTGCCCTTCCCCTCCCTGCTGTGGGAGCATCCCTGTGAAGGTGGCTGGAAATCACGTGTGGAGCTGCGGGCACCATACTAAAAACAACACTTCTCTAGCTGTTTATTCAGTCGTGTGTACCCACACGGACAGCCGTGAGCTCTCTGAGGCGAAGGGTACTTCATATCAATATAAAAAAAGAGGATTAGCAGGTGGCATGGAGGTTAAGGGGACTGCGTCCCGCATGGCTGACCATGTGGTTTGAGTCCCAGACCCAGTGGCTTGAGAAACACACCAAGCACGTGTGCCTGTGTGCCCCAAATCCTGAGAGAATAGAGAAGGGACTGCAGTGTGGTCATCCCCCCTTGGGAAGGGGGGTGATTTCTCACTTTCTTTATCTCTCTCCAGTGAAAACAAGCACCCTGTAGCAAAAGCTATAATTAAATTAAAAGTTAAAATAAGTAGTGTCAACACCGAGCATAATGCAAGGCACACAGTAGGCACTTGACAGGCAGGAGAGCAGGGCGGCCATCTTGACACAGACCCAAGCCTGAGGGGCGAGGTGGTACCTGGTCCTTTAGAGTGGCCCAGTGACTAGCCTTGCCTAAGCCAAGGCCCCAGGCTGGCTAGATAGCTTCTCTTTAAAAGTCCCACAGTCCTGCTTGCCTTGACCTGCTCCAGCTCCAGGCTCCAGGCACCTAGCTCTTGGCTGTGACCTGCTTGCTCAGTTCCTCCCACCACCCCCACCAGCTTCTCCAGCTGGATTTGTCAGCCTTCCCCCACACTGCCATGGCATGACTGGCCCAGGGTGTCAAGCTCTGCTGTGGGGCACCCAAACCTAAATAAATGGATGTCTGATTTAGGGAGGACTTCAGCGCTGTGAACTGATGGGTCCGCAGTAGTGGAAGGAACGTGGACAGACCTGGGTTCAAATTCCAGCTCAGCCGCTCACTGGTGATGTGACTGTGACCAACTGCTGAACTTTGAATCTCAGGTTTACCATCTGGACGTGGGGTTTTTAAAAACCGCTACCTCACAGGATCACTAAGAAGAAGAAACACCATGACACGTTGTCTGGCCTTGTGCCCGACACACGGCAGCTTCTCGATAAGCCTTCGTGACCTTCCTTTCTTCTTTTCCACAAAGGTTGCTTCTAAGACTAAAAGTCCATGAGCCTTTGAAACAGATGTTCCCTGGTCAAACCGTAACTTGGGAAGTTACCACGCTGCTGAAAAGTTTATCTTTCCGAGAGGAATGAGGATCCCAGGTGACTGAGACCACCTCTGTGTCCCGCTTCCCATTCCCAGTTCAAAGTCCGACAGGTAAGGAGAGGGTGTCATGGGTGATCAGAGTTCACACACCACACTGACAAGAGCAAGTTCAGTTCACAGAGATGCCATGAGTGAAGTCAAAGCCCAGAAAGGCCTGGGAATGACCCTGGGGGCACAGAGAGATCATGACCTTAACATCTGCAGATAGCTGGGAGCCATGGCTGTACCAGGAATCCGTCAGTGCTGGTGGAGCCTGTGGGCTCTCACACAGATGCCCAAGAAAACACAGGAGAAGAACTGAAGGCAGCATTTGCCCTGGCTCTCTTTCAGGCAGGTGACATGGAATGATGTGGGGGATACCCGACTGAACAGAACAGGCAGGGAAAGGCCGTGGAGTCACCCCTCTGTTAACCCCAACACTGGTGATTCCCAGAGTAAACGCCCAGGGTCAGGAGCATCAGCAAGTCCGGACTCTCTGGAATCACAGATAGTGGGCCTCGCTTCTAGTGCAATGCGTGAGACACCCAGGGGGTGGGGCCCAGCAGTCTGTAGTCCCATAGCGCTGTGGGTGATCCTGACACATGCTAAAGTTTGAGCGAGGACTTGAAGATGCTTTTGCTCATTTACGCAAAGTGACGGAGATGGCATGACACTGGCATTGGTCATAAGCTTTCTAGACAAGAAGATCTGACTCCAGATCCTGGCTCTGTCCTTAAGTGGTAGAGCGGCCTTGAACAAACCCCTCAATCTCTCTGACCCTCGACCTCCTCAAATGTAATATATCTGCTTTGGGGCCAGCAGGTGGTGCGGTGGTTAAGACACTGGATTTCCATATAGCCGACAGTGGTTCTAGTCCTAGATGTGGCTTGAAAATCATGCCAGATGCATGTGTGTGCGTGCCCAACATCCCGAGAGGAGAATGGAGGAAAAGGGACTGTGGCAATGGCCATCTCCCGTGGGGGATGATTTCTTACTTTCCCTCTCTTCTCTATCTCTATGTCTCTCTCTAGTGAGTGCACATGCCCGGTGGCAAAAATAAAAAATAATAATAATAATAAAAAAGATACCTACCTTGCGGGTTTATGGTCTGGTTTAGAGACTGTAAGAAAAACGTTTTGCAGTGCTTGGCCCATAATGGGTGCTCATCAACGTTATCAGCACCACCAGCCTCACTGCTGCCACGGCGATGAAGAAGCTCCGGGCGAGGCAGAACTGTGGATGCGTTTAGGTACTGTCATTCGGCCACACAGGACTCATCCTGCCTTAGAGGAGTTTGATGTGTGCTCCGAATACCACTTTATGCCACTTATCTGCTGGCTACATCCTCATTAAATTCTAAATGACTTAAAGATAATATTTCCTTTTCAAATTTGATGAGAAAGAAATCCCTATGTACCTTGGATATACCAAGCGAGACTCCAGTGAGAAAAACCACTCCCATTGCAATACTGCCTGGATGTTTCCCTACCCTGCCCGCCCTTTTTTTTCTTTTCGGATAAGTCTCTTAAGCATATAGTAGCACTGGGCAAATACCTGCCGGGTGTCCAATGAATGAATTGGCTCAATTTGACTTTACTGTTGTGCAACTCACAGAACTAAGCTTGTGACTAGGCCTTGAGCCTCCTGAGGGGGTAGAAGGGTGGTGGGACTAGCCACGGTACCCACGTAGGTCACACATAGACATTTTGGGAAATCGGGCCCTGAGGGGACGATGGGGGACAGTTGTCTGCGACAGTGATTTTGTAGGTGGCTTTCTGAATGTGCAGGATGGCGTGCATTCCTCCACCCCCGGCGTCCACACCGCCACTTCTGCTGCACCTTCTAAGTCAGCTGGGGGTTACCCTGGCTGATCAGTTACTAGGGCTCATGGCCTCTGAAGTATCTAGGCCATTTTTTTTTTTAATACGTAGCTTGTTTTGGGGTTTGTTTGCCATTTCCTTTTGAGTTCATGCCGTGCCCATTTGGCAGGAGTATCTCAGAGGTGACACTGTTTATCTAAGTGTGTCCCATTGGCAGGTAGATGATGTCAGCATGCTCCATTTCTGGTGACCTTAAAATGTTAACATGGGTCATTTGCTTGATCTGTTGGTATGTCTGACTCCTCCTCTGGCCCATGAGGCCTTTCTCAAGGAAAGGAGGGAGTCTACCTGATTCCTCGTGAGTATTTAGGGACACACAGAGGTGAGGGTACCAATACCTACTGAACCCCTCCCATCAGACTGGCTGTGTGGCTGCTTCTCACCTCAGACTCAGGAGAACCCTGTAATTTAGTGGTCGTTATGCTCATTTTCCAGGTGTGTGTACTGAAGATGAGTAACCTGCCGAAGGGCACCTGGCTGGGAAGTAGCAGGTCCAGATTCTGACCCAGCTCTGCCTGCCACTTCCCATCATGCTCACGCCCTACAGCCAAAAGACTTAGGAAACACCTGTTGCTTTGAATGGATGTTAAAAAAAAATTAAACAGAAAAATCTAACACCAAGGTCACCAAAAAACTTGACACCCTCCTATAGCAATAAAGATGCTTTGTAGTCATTTTTTCTTCAACAAATATTTATGGTGGGGCTACTATGTACCCGATAGTGCTGTAGATCATAGGCATGTAGCTGAAGAGCTTACATTCCAGCTGGACTCCGCCAATGCCAGAAAATGCAAGTCAAGTGGCTTAAACAACAAGACAAGACAAGGAACAGATCACTCCAAGGTTGGTAAATTTAGCAGGTCAAAAGTGTCATGGCTAAGATATGGGTTCTCTGAGATTCTTCTTCTTTTTTTTTTTAAACTTTATTTATTTATTTAAAAAACTTGACCAGAGAGGGACAGAAAGAGAGAGAGAGTGCAAGAGGGAAAATGAGGAAGCAAGCTGCCAGGTCTAGGACTTGAATCATGATCTGTCCTGTGGGAGTCTAACACCCTTCACCACACCACCTGCCAACCCTGGGTTCTCTGAGATTCTACTAGCTTTCTCTTTGGAGCTGTAAAATGTTTGCTTTTGTTTTAAGCAACACATCCTCAAAGGAAGCAAAGGAGACATTCGTATCATTAACCATGTACGTGAGCAAAGGAAGCCTTTTGTGAATCCTCGCCACTGACTTCCCTTCCATTGCTGGCCAGAGCTACATAACCAGCCATGCCTCAATCACCACTTGGCAAGAGAGCCGAATTGCCATAGTTTAAGCAGTCTAGTTAGTTGGCTCATGGCCTCTGAAGTGTCTAGGCCATTTCTTTTCTTTTCTTTTTTTTTTTTTTATGTGTACCTTGTCTTAGGGTTTGTATATATATATATATTTAATTTATTTATTTATTTTTATATTCTTTTTTTTTTGCAATTAATCAATGTACATCTCCACAGCCTACAAAAAGAATTTTCCCAGCATAAATATACTGCACATCAGTCCAGTCAAAGATGTTACTATACACATTATCATCAACAGATAATTTTCCATTTTTGTGCCTGTTTTGCCTTTTTTCCCCCAATTCCCTCCCTCCTGTCTCCCAATGCCCACTCTCCTCCCACACCGTCTCTAGTATTCACAATTGTTCTCCATGCTTTTCCACCTCACAACCTTTTAGTTTCTGCCATAGAATGGAGACATTTGGTAGGGATTTTTGCTATAGGGTGCATGCTCTTGCCAGAGAGGACAGAGACAGAGAGACGGAAAGCAAGAAATCAACCCCCCCCCCGGGGGCTGGCCACACTGCAGTCCCTTCTCCTCCAGACTCCTCTAAGGATTTTGGACATGCACGCATGTCTAGTGAGTTTTAAGCTGCCGGGTCCAGGACTTGACCCACAGTCGACTATGTAGGTTGACCACTGTGGGCTGATAATGCCATCTGCTGGTCTCGACACTTGGTATATATGAAGTGGGGACATTCAATACCTCTCTCTCACAGTCTGGCTTGCTTCGCTCAGCATTAAATCTCCTACATTCTCCCAGTTTCTATCAAATTCCAGGTCTCATTTTTTTTTTAATGGCTGAATAGTATTTTATAGTGTATATGTGACACACTTTTTCAATCTATTCATCTGTCTTTGGACATTTGGGTTGGTTCCATATCTTTTTGCTGTTTCCTTTTGAGTTCGTGCTGTGCCCATTTGGCAGGAGTATCTCAGAGATGGCACTGTGTTTATCTAAGTGTGTCCCATTGACAGGTAGATGATGTCAACTTGCTCCATTTCTAGTGACCTTAAACTGTTAAATGGGTCATTTGCTTGATCTGTTGGTACGTTTGACTCCTCCACTGGCCCATAAGGCCTTTGCACCCCCACCACCCAGACCACTTCTGGGCTCAGCCTTCCTGAAATCATTTGGTCATCAGAAGAGTAGGTGATGGGGCCAGTAGGTGGTGTGGTGGTGAAAATGCCTGACTCCCACATGGACAACTATGGTTTGAGTCCTGGACCTGGTGGCTGGAAAAGCACACCAGGTACATGTATGTGTGTGCCCCTAAGTCCTGAGAAGAGAATGGAGGAGAAGGGATTGCAGCATGGCCATCCCCCATGGGATGATTTCTCACTGTCCCTCTTTCTGTCTCTCTCTGGGGAGCACATATGGCCTACGGCAAAAACCTAAAAAAAACGGTGAGTGAACATTACAACTTTATTTTAAGAAGGAAGAATAGCTGCCCATTACTGTTGAGCAGACAACTGACAAGATTTATCAAGTCTCTCACCTACCAATGTATCAAATATGTACTCTGTGGCTTCTTGGAAACTCTCGTTTATTCAGATATAATTGCCTCATGGCTATCGCTTGCGTTCATTACATCGAGGCCTGCTGCTTCTCACTCTGGGGTCATATGGTGTTTCTATCTACCTCGGTCTCATCTCATTCCAAAATAAGGTTTCCTTCCCAAGTACACAGGATCTTAGCCGGGGGAGTTCAAAAATTATTGTGTGACTGGTACCAGGATGTGGTTGACTACAGCATCAGGTAGGGTCCTGAGGACTGCCGGGCCAGTCATTTACCACTTAGATGCTGGATCGGGGAGGTCCAGGAGGACCCTAATAGAGGGGGCCCACTATTTACCAACTACTATGGAAGAATTTAACAAGTAGTTAACAGTACCCAACGTGACAGGCTGAAAATCAGCTCTGAGTCTCCAGACGACCATTCCCACTGTCAGTATAATGACCATGATGTGATCTTTCCAGCTTCTGCCTCATGGTTGGGCATTTGCACTGATTCTAATAGATATATTTTTAAATTTTGACTTAAGTTTTTGTGATAGGGTGTGTGCACTCACCAGAGAGAAAAAGAAAGGGAAAGTGAGAAGTCTCTCCTGGGGGGATGGCCACGCTACAATCCCTTCTCCTGGGGTTTTGGGCACACATGCACACGTGCTGGTGCGATTTTCAGCCTGCCAGGTCTGGGACGCAAACCAGTCAGCCATGTGGGACCGAGCACCTTGACCACCACACCACCTGCTGGCCCCTGGGCTGCCTCATTTTAACTGCAATATTAAGCTCAGTTCTAAGCTCTTCTGTGCCTTTGTTTCATTTTTATATTTTATAAAGATATTTGTAAATCTATATTTCATATTTCTGTTTTCTTGGAACATGTTCCCCAACTGATATTCCGTAGTCAGGGGGTATGATCGGTTTTATAATAATTTGACATATGATTTAAAAACCATGGGCTTAGAAACACCCTTGCCCACCTCTCACACCTTCCTGTTGCAGGGGAGCTGGGAGGCAGTGTGGTATCGTCAAGGGGGGAGCACTGGACAGGAGAGCTGGGCAGAGTCGCCCTACTAGGAGCTGGGGGGTTGGCAGCCACTTTGCCTCTCTGAAGCTTGGTTTCGTCAGCTGTAAGCATCCGTTGTCTGCACTTATTTCTGACCTCGGCCTGAGGCTCTGGCCAGCCTTTGCAAAGGTGGGTTGGGTAACGGGACTTGAATAACTAACTATCGAGTCAGCAATGTGTGAAAGTTGGGGAGGCTGAATCCCACATGGCCGGCTGTGTGGTTCAAGTCCTGGACCTGGCGACTTGAGCCAGGCATACGTGTGTGTATGCCCCAAATCCTGAGGACAATGGAGGAGAAAGAATTGTGGTGTGGCCTTCCTCCCTAGGGTGGAGTAGGGGAGAGGATTTCTCCCTTTCCCTCTCTCTGTCTTCAGTGAGCACAAGTGCTGTATAGCAAAAAATTAAAAGAAAAAAAAAAAAAGAACCAAGCGTCATGGAAGGGACCATAGTCGGAGTGCAGGGTGCCACCTTCTGGTGTAAACAGTTATTGTCCAGAGGACGTGGGGCCGAGCTGCTCTCCCTTGTGTGCCTGTGAGGATCTGCCCCAGGTGAAGCCTCAAGAGCAGGGAGGGGAAGTTCTCCCAAACTAGGCTGCCTCCTCGTGTGAATAGCAGCTTTTTAAAAAAGAATTATTAATTTTATTATTATTATTATTATTTAATTTGCATGCACTTACGAGAGAGAGAGAGAGAGAGAGAGAGGAAGAGAGAGGGAAAGTGAGAAAGCAAGCTGCCTGAACCAGGATTTAAACTGTGGTTGGCCACATGAGAATCCACGCCACCTGCTACCTCCCCCCTTTTTCCCCTTAAGACAGGGTCTCACTATGCTGTCCACACTGGCCACGAGGTTTTAGGATAGACTGGAATTGAACCTGAGCCTCCCATGTGACCTTAGTCTCTGAGTAACAGTGTCAACCAGAGCTGGGCCATGTCTGGCCGCTTTAAGCCAACGTCTTCCTTCTGCCCCTGACACTGGGGAGCCACAAGGTTGCTGGGTTTTTGCAAACTGCTTGTAAATGAAGGTGTTCTGAGCTTGGGAACCGTGGAGGCGCTGGCACAGTGATCTTTGTAAAAACAGGAGGCCTTTACCAGTGATTTATCAGACCTGCTCAGAGGCTGGCAGCTGGCAGCAGTGGCCGATCGGTCCACAGATATTTTACAGGGCACCGGCCATGTGCCACACGCGTGCTTCAGCAGACACTGCTGAACAAGACAGGCCGGGTTCCTGCTATCATTGCCTAGTGGGGAGTCTAGTGATAAGATTCCTTCTAAACCGCTACCCTGTTACCTGTCTGTATCTGTGGCTGATTTCCAGAGCCCCCTTCAGACACCAAAATCACAGAGCTCAAGTCCCTTGTGTAAGAGAGCGTGGTATTTGCATGCAGCCCACCCACGTCCTCCCAAATGCTTTGAATCACCTCTAGATTGCTACTAATACCTAACACAATGGAAATGTTAGGTAAATAGTTGTTACACTGTATTATTGAGGGAATACTGAGCAAAACCAAGTCTGTATGTGTTCAATACAGACACCACCATTTTTTCCCCCAAATATCTTTGATCTGCAGTTGATTGAAACCATAGATATGGGGACCAGCAGTTAGCATAATGGCTATGTCGCTGGACTCCCATGTAGTCGACTGCGGTTCGAGTCCTGGACCCAATGGCTTAAACTCACGCCGGGCGCGTGTGTGTGCATGCCCAAGATCCCAAGAGGAGAATGGAGGCGAGGGGACTGTGGCGTGGCCATCCCCCCTGGGGGGTGATTTCTCGCTTTCTGTCGCTGTCTTTCTGGTGAGCACACGTGCCCTATAGCAAAAATCTCTCTAAAAAAAAAGAAATCCAGAAAATTAAATATAATTTTAAACAGTATTTTGCCTCCCAACACTATAGCCATTTTTATGTCAGTACCTCTGGCTCCTGTACACTTGTATATTCTTTTTTTTTATTCA